ATTCTACCAAAATACAGACTTTGTTCCAATACAGCTTTATTCCTTCTTCCATTTCATATGCTATTATTTTCACATATATTACAACTGTTACAATGCCTTACACAGTGGACCCTTGAGTTCTGATTGGCTTGACACACAAACAACTTGGGTTATGACCAGAATTTAAGTTTTAACTCATAAATAAAGTCTTGAGTTATGATTAGAATGCCAGCCACTTGTGCTTCCAGATGGTCTCAGATACAGATTTAACCTTTAAAGAGTTCTGGAAAGAACATTACGACATCCTTTCCTGTGTGGGGTTAATTGAGAAATCCTGAACCAGTGTCTCTCTAAGGACACTGATATCTGCCTGTGTACAGGAGAGAGACTTTGAAGGCTGTGGATAGGAGACTGAGCCTTCAATTGAACAACTTAATTTACAACCAGCTCTCATGAACAAATTGAGTTTGTAAGTCAATTATATTATGTCATGCACTATATTGTGTCATGTTAAACACTATATTGTGTTTTCATCATAGTTAAAAGAAGAAATATGAAATCTATCTATATGGTCTTTGATGTTGACCCCAAGGTTACCGTTTCAGATGTTCTTCATTCACCCTGTGTGTTGCAGTTATCAACAAGAGTTCTCCATTTCAGTTTGAAGACCTTCCTTTAGTTATCTTGTTCTGTAAGATGTGTCACTAGTAACAGATACCTTTGGGCAATTTTTCTGGAAATATACAAAAGATGATTCAAAAATATGGTTAATGCTCACATTTAAAAAATATTTATAACAAAAAATATTTATGACAACAAACCACATTGCCATTAACCACAGGCCTTGAAATAAGCCTCCTTGCTTCTAACACATTAATCCCATCTTTCTTGACATTTTCTAAAGCATTTCTGGAAGCCATCTGTGTGTTTTTAGATGTGCTGTCCTGACTGCCTGGATATCCCAAATGGATACAAAATATTCACTTTTCATGGTCATTTGACTTTGGGGAAGAACCAGAATTTATAGTGCCAGACCTGGTAAATATGGTAGATAAGGCTACACTGCAATATTTTTAGAAGCCTGTCTTTCCATCAGATGGTACTGGGCAGCAGCATTCACCAGATTTTTTAAATCATACCTCATAAAGACACTCATGAAAGAGGACTTTCAGAACTACTTCAGAAAGTATCAACAATGAAGAGATACATGTATTTGAAGAGAAGAGGAATATTTTGAGGTGAATTAATGGCAGTGTGTCTTGTACTGTAATAATTTTTTAAAATTTAAACATTCACTATATTTTTCTATTACACCTGCTCATTTGCCTTCATTAAATAAGAAAAAGAAAACATACTTTATTTTATCACTGAATTCAACTATTTCAATTGTGAAGCCCTAATATTTAAAATAAATGTATATAGAGTTATTCAAATATTAAATGATTATTCTAAATAATCATGATTATTATAAATCATTATTATAATAAATGATTATTCTAAAAGATATTAGAACATTTTTATCATTTCAGCAAGATCTTTTACGTCCATTAAGCACATCACTCCCTATCCACAGGCAAATACTAATCCATCCTCTCTCTTCATGGACTTTCCTTATTTGGACTTTTACAAAAATAGAATCATACAACAATTGCTCTTCTAAGGCTGGCTTCCTTCACCCAGCACAGGCCTATGAGGTTCATCTTTGTTGCAGAACAATAGCAGTACATTCTCCACCCTGTGGGACATCATTACCTTAAAGATAAACTACATTCTGTCCCTCAGTTCCCCAATCAATGGACACCTGAACTATCCCCAGTTCCAGGTCACCACGAGCAATACTACTAAGAATATGTATACACAAACCTTTGCATACCTTTTTTTGCAGTACTGGGAATTGAACCCAGGGCCTCTTGCATCCTAGGCAGGCAGTCTATCACTAAGCTATTCTTTTTGGGAAGTAAGGATTAATATTTTTTTCAATTTTTATTAGTATATCTTTCAATGCATAATAAATATATTCACCATGGGGTATTGATATATGTATACATATCACATTTCATCCTTTTTACTTCACCTTCTCCTCTTCTGCCTCCCATCTCCTCCATCTCCAGATCCCCTTCCCAGCTCCACAAAACTCTTTAATCTTCCTGTTTTCTATCATCTTCTTTTATGTTGCTCTTTGAACTATTTGTACTTTGGTTTTCTGATGCTACCTCCAGAAAAATAGTATAAGAATTCAGTGAAACTGTCGGCCATCCAGCTGATGGTAGAAAAATGACCAAAGTTGGAAGAAAAAAAAAATCCCCATTTTTTGGAAGAACAGTACAGAAATGTTCTGTGTTCAAGGTGAATATAGAAGAAAATAGTTTGTGTTTATCCTTTTGCATCAATAGTCATTAAAGATTTTTTAACACTGTAGTTATGAAATTATTAAATTGAGCAAATAAGATTAGCACAAAACAAAAACAACATAATTTTGTAAATAAATGCAGAAAATTATTTGATAACCCTAACTCACTTATGGTTTATAAAATGACTACTACACTCCTGGTTTTGTATTTGTACTGTTTAAATTTTAAAAATACAAAGATTTCAAGTTTGAAAAAGAAACAGTAACTGTCTTTGATTCAAAAGACCAGGGCTCTCTACAACGAATTCCAAGATACTTGAAAGAAAAATCTTTAGAATTTATAAAAGAATTTATGGTATAGGTTAGAGCTAGATATGGTTTTGCTGGACAATAAAACCTTTATGCAGAAGACAATACTGTTCTTTTACATGAACAACAATCAATGAGAAAAACAGAATTTTTAAAAGATAACATTTACAATAGTAGCAGAACCTGTTAAGAATCTAGTTACTGCCAGGGATTTAGCTCAGTGGTTCTGCTGACTGCCTCGCAAGTGCAAGAACCCCAGTTTGATCTCTGGGATCAAAAAAAGAATCTAGTTACTAATAAATCTAACCAAAATCCATTTCAAATATATAAAGTTATTAGCTTTAAAAGCAAATTGTACACACCTTTAAGGAAAAAATAGGAAAGAATTATGATATATTAAGAAAGGTTTTCTGGAACTAAACTTAGAAAGAAAGACCCCAAAAGAAAATGCTCTACATTAAGGTAGGAAGCAAAGATGTTATTACAAATTTTTAGAATGCTAAAAGCTAATTCAGAGCTAGTATGAATCAACTTTACCTCTTCTTCTTTATTAAATTATGCATTTTATGGTAGACTTCTCCAGTCTCCATAATAAAAGATTAATCCAAGCAAAAGTCTTTGTGCTGGCTATCAATAAAACCAAACTTTACTGTTCACCTTCAATTCTAAATGGAAAAAAAGTAGGTAAATTAAGAACTAATCACGACAAAAATAATCACAATTTATTTTGAAAGCACAGAAATTTTTAAAAAGCTGACAGCACTATTAGTGGATTTCTTGACTGTGTTAGTTACTTTTCTCTCATCACTGAGACAAAATACCAGACACCCAAAGTTAAAGGGGAAGGGGTTTATTTGCCTTACAATTCATAGAGGTTTCAGTCCATAATCAGACAACTCCAAGGCAAGGACAGCAAACAGGCATAGCAGAGCAGAAACAACATGGCACACATAAGGCAGCAAAGGTACCAAGAGCATTAACAGGGTCTCTCTGCCTCTTTCATCTTATTCAGACTACTTAGGGCAGATAGCACCCACACCCTTAATCCTAATGCCCTTGAGCCTAGCATTGCATCACGAATCAATTCCAGCTCCACACACTCTAGATCAATCCTATGACCATAGGAGGCTTTGGGGAAACATCTAAACCCAAACCATAGCATTGACCTTTGGAGATCTTGATTACAAAATAAAGATAATGGGTTTTTTTTAATGATGTTGTAAATTTTGCTTTAAAAATTAATTACTTCTCTTAATTGAGTGTGTCTCAAGAAATACTCATTAGTAGGGCCATGGATGTGACTCAGCAGCAATGCGCCTGCCTGACAAGCACTAAGTCCTGAGTTTGATGCCCAGAACTGGAAAAAAAAAAAAGAAAAAGAAATACTCATTAGAAATAAAATTTCTTTTAATTACATGGAATATACATGCAAGGTGCCTATCTAAGAAAGCTTAAAAACATGATTTATTTTTATTCTTAAAATAATAGGTCATATAAACTTGTCCAAGACAAATTCTATCTATTCTATCTGTATTTTTGGGAAACTGATCTGTTCCTTTAAAAAAATAAAAAGAAATTAGGCAGTTTTATATCAGCGAGAAAATGAATCTTCCTTTCAAAACAAGGAGAACAAAAAGATACAAAGATCCTAAAAATGTACCTCTTGCTTTTGCTCTATAACTGAAAAGAGTAATTGAGAGAAAACACTACTTACAAATTAATTACATACTTTTTTGCTAAGATACCAGTTTTTAAAAGTGTAAGACCCATCTGGCTTGACATCTGCAAAATTCCTATAATTAAAGGGAAGGAAATAAACATAGTAGATGTTATTCAAGGTTTCCTACACTTCATTAACTTTTCTATCCTTTAACTTTGTCTATATCTAAAATGTCTATAAGAATTATACATTATTGAAATAGAAGGATAAAATTTAGTGATCAAAATTCAGAATATCTGATTTTTAGTCTGTCTTTAACAACTTTTGGTTTCCTCATTTATTATAAACTTGATTATATAATTAACTTCAGCTCTCTTTTAGCTCAATGAGTCAAATGGTTAAAACCAAATAATTCTAGATCTCTAGTCACTGAACTGACAAATGGAAATATTTCAGCTAGTTGATTTAATATGAATCATTAATTTATTGTTCCTTTTCAAAAAATATTTTAATTGATAAGTCTATTTTTCATTTTCCAGGATAGACCCAAACAGTGATTTTAGTTTCTTCCTTGTGAACAGACACATGATTTTCCTTCTAATTTTCTGTTTAGTTTAGTTGGGAAAGAAGATCACATGTTTGTCATAATTCATGACTGTGACACAGTACAAAGGATGAGCGGCTACTCAGAGTCCATGTGCAGTTTAACCTCTAAGAGGTCCCAAAGAGACTACCTTAACCGAAACTCCTCAATGTGAGAGTGTTAGGAAAAAAGGCAGTCCAAACTGAAGCTTCTGCGGCTTTTTATTGACAGAAGCCAGAAGCAAGAAGCAAGGATAGAGGACCAGAGAAGGGTGTCTGTGCAGGAACTCATGTAGGGCACAGGGGAAAGACAGGGTGGTCTGTTACATGACTGACCTCAGGGCCAAAATGAGTAATAAATCAGAGCATGGGGACGACAAGGACCAGAGTATTCATTCCTTAAGGTAATGTGATCCTACTTGGACTTGGGTCCTGTAGCTCTCTTTTAATCTCTAACCAAGCATTCTGGGAGGTTTTGAGCACATGGCCTCCAAAATGCTTTATCTTTGCATAACCATCTCACACATACCTTTGTCCAATGGTTTTACACATCCTCATTGTCACTGGAGTCAAAATAATGAGATAAAAACCAAAGATTTTGGTCTGATTTGGGCAAACCATGTGAAGCCATGTTAATAATGTTATAGATATGACATAGCATTATACCTTTTAAATTTTGTTTGAAAAATGTTTATATAGTTTTTATAAATGTCAGATAATATCTGAGACAAACTGAAAATATTCAATGCAAAATACATATTTTTATAAAAATATAAAATATAAGAATATGAAATTAGATATTTTATAAGCATTTTACATATTTAAAAAATCTCAGGTATAAAGAAATTAAGTACTTTATTTGAGGTTACACAGATAGCATGTGAATTTGAGCCCGAATTTGAATGTAAACATTTGGATCTCCAGGGTTCATGTTCTTGATCACTATAAATGGTGTATGTCACACATTCAGAAAGTTATGTTTCCTGGGACCTAAGTAGACTTCATTGGGAAATATCACAGATTTCTTTTCTTTAGTTACTGGGAAAGAGTCAGCTATACTATTGCAAAATTTCCTAATCTAGTAGAGAGAGAAAAATTTGGAGCAAAACTAGTAGTCAGTGTGCTATCTGACTGAAAAAAAATCAACATGATTCTATCTTCTTCGAGCCTTTGGGATACATACCCAATAGTTCACTGAGTTTTAAGGAGACATCAAAAAACAAAGTGCTCTCTTTCAGAAAGGCAGAGTGAAGTCTTCTGCAGATAACCCTTTACAGGAAAATGACTACAGCACTGACAAGACATTGTCAAAAATCACAGTTTTGGAAACCTGGAAGTTAACCAATGGCTTATGACATTCTAAGAAGCTCCTAAACCCAGGTAAAAATAGCAGGGTTTATGGCACTGTAATGTGACCTATTCCCATCCCCACCTTCATAGTTGCCTTGAAAACTGTAAGCTTTCTATCAACTAATCTATAAAAAGCAGCAGTGCTGCAGCCACCAGAGAGAGTAGATGAGTTTAGAGCTTTTAAAGAAGCCCAGTCCCAGAGCTCAGTCACTGACCAGTTGTGCAGCTCCTGAGAAAAAAGCTCCATTTGTAAGATGTTGCTATTATTTGATCTGATTTGGAGCTTACTCCAGGGGGGAAACTGTATTTCCAGGGAATTTGTTGAAAAGAATCAAAGGCTATTGTTTAACATTCCAACTCTCTAAAAATATAAAAAGAAGATTTGTGGGAAAATATATCCATAGGTGACTTGTTTTGTTTTGAGGCAGGGTCTCTCTATGTAGACCAGGCTGGCATGGAATTCACTGTGATCCTCCTTCCTAAAATTATTCCTCACGAAGGCTGGGATTACAGGCATGTGCCGCCATACCCAGGCCATACGTAGCTTTTTTAAAATTCTGACATATTCCTAGTGATCTAGAAGATGACATACATGTGCAGGCCTGTGCATACATCAGGAAAAAAAGGGTCTGAATTTATCGATGCAGCCTAAGATTGAAATCCTGCATCAGCGGCAAAAAAGGCTAGGTCAGAATTTTAAACTGTCTCATCATAGAAGATGTATCCCAACACAAACATATAGAGTTCTTCCGACACAGAGATGAGATTCAGTGATTTAAATAATTTTATTAAGAACATCTCTTATTGGACGTTCCGTGAACTCATTGAACAGATACTTCAACAGGCACACAATACAAAAAATATAAGAACTTATGAAGTTAATATTAAAAAATTATTAAACAGTGGAAACAACAAACTCTGGGGGGAAGGGAAGAAATATGATTACACAACTTGTATTCCGTATTATCTAAAATGTCCAATTTTCAACAGCAAGAAAAATATGAGCCTGAAAAATATGAGGGCAGAAGATTTTCCCCCACACAAGAAAAAACCAGCAGCTCTATGTCTAACGGGATGGATGTTGGACTTACAAAATAAAGAGTGTAATCTTCTGTTGAAGAGATAAAACAAACCACATCTAAAGAAATGAAAGAAAACATGACAGTACATCATAAAGTAGACAGTACTAATGAAGATGAAGAACACATAGAAATAAACCAAGCAACAGTTCTGGAATTGAAAGTTCCAATATCTGAAATGAAAAATACACTAGTAGGATTCACAGAAGATCTGAGTTGTCAGAATAAAGACTCAATGGATTTGAAAACAGGTCAATTGAGAACAGTCTGCAAAACAGAAAGAACAATGAGGAAATGTGACCAAAGCCTCAGATGTACTTGGGACATCATCAAGCATACCAACACATACATAGTGTGAGTTCAAGAAAAAGAAGATAGCCTGTAAAGTAAACCAGAAGTAATATTTGAATAAAATATGGCTGAATTCAGTTCTCAAAATAAGATATGCAAATGGCCAATAAGCTTATGAAAAATACGCCCAACACCGCTAGTCATTGGGGAACTGTAGATCAGAGCTACAGTGATCTATATGATGACCTCTCTCAAGACAAAATTAAATTAAAATTTTAAAACATAATAATAAATTCTTGGAAGGAGAAACACAGGATTGGTGGTAGGAATGTAAAGTAGTTCCATGACTATGTAAAGCAGTTATGTTTACCCTCAAAGAATTATTTTATGATCCAGTAATTCTACTCCAACATACCATATATACACAAAGGAATTGAAAGCAAGGACTGAAACTAATACTTGTACAACAATCTCCATAGTCCAACAGCCAAAAGTAGAAAAAATTCAACTATCCATTAATATAAAAGTGAATAGATTAAATGTGAGTATATACACATATCAGTATACTGTTCAGCAATAAAAGTCAATGAAGGGCCCGGGATTTAGCTCAGTGGCACCATGCCTGCCTTGCAAGTGCAAGGTCCTGAGTTTGATCCCTGGTACACACACACACACACACACACACACACACACAGTCAATGAAGTTCTTATATTTACTACATGGAAGAGCCTCCAATTCCTTATGCCAAGTAAAATATGCCAGGCACAAAAGGACAAGTATTGAATGATTCCATTTATATGAGGTACCTAGAATAAGCAAACTAATAAAGATAGAATATAGATTAAAAGTTAACAGAGACTTGGAGGTAGGGAGTGGGGAATTATCACTGAATGCTTATTTTCGCATTTCTATTTGGGGTATGAAACAGTTTTGGTAATACAGAGAGGTGATAGTTACACAACCTGCGGATCTAATTAATACCACAGAAGTATGCACCACTTAGGAATTGTTAATCTGAAAAGCTGGGCATGGTGGCATATGATGTAATCCCAGCACTAGGGGGGATGAGGCAGGAGGATCTCCATGAGTTTGAGGTTAGCCTGGGCTACAGAGTTAAAGGCTACAGAGTTAAATTATGTATAGTAGCTAGGACTTGTCTTTAAAAAAAGCTGTTTAACTGATAAATGTTATTTTATGTATATTTTATAATACAATAAATCCAAAAATATTTCCCTAGTTCTCCTGAGTCTTTATAGCATCATTCACTTAGTACTGTTGTAAAGCTTGCCCATTTGTCTTGAGTAACTACAGTTGCCTTTTACAGTTGTTTACATTTGTTTGACCTTTATAGAAGATAAAATTATAAAGTCTCCATTTTTCTATAACCTTTCCTACACTTAAAATTTATTACAAATATTGACTTTTATCTCCCATCCAAAGTCATCACAGTGTTTTAATCTTCTTTAGAACAACCTGAACTCTTTCCTCTATCAAGAACATTTCTTTGCCTGTGTCTGAATTTTCCCATGTTTCTCTCAGACTGGAGAAAAACTAGAAAATACACATCAGAAAGAATCTTCCAAATACTGGATACATTGTGAAAGCTAACTTTTCTTCATGAAGATCACATCTCAGCACAACTTCTTTTCACAACATAATGTATGTTGTTTTATAATATATAATTTATTCATAGTATTTATTTTGTTCCCACTTTGCAATACATACTCATTCTTATTAGATTAATGAACAGAAATCTTCTAATATTGCTTTCTGTAACAGTTAGTCACTTCTCTAAAGGTCTTTTAATTTCTAGTTCCATCTGGCTCAGTGCTGGCCACCTCCCTCTGTGTCTGTAACGGGCTTAATGAAAAGGCTCACTAATCCATCTCACAGGGCAAATTTGTCATTTACCTTGTAGGGCTCTGGTAGAAATTAATGAGATCATTGGTCCAGTGCTCTTTGAAGACTTACATTTTCAAAGAGCTCTGGCAAAAGTCTCAAAAGACCTTCACTATGGGTTGTTAGTGAAAAATGAATTTTATGATTTTTAGTATGTGTTAAGGTCATTAGGTATTCAAAAGAATGGACCTGGCTATTGGAAACTTGAAAGGCAGAAGTCACAGCCATAATACTCTTACTGATACAACTATATAGAAAATATAGAGGTCATTGGAGCTAAATCAAAAGATTTGAAAAATATAAATACCTCAAACTAATTTCCACTATCATTTACAATATCTTAGGAAATCTAAAATGAAAATGATACATAAGTGATAATTCCCCAGTTGATATTAATTTATGGATTTTAAGAGTGTTTTTATCATAATTATACTGCTCAATAATTCTTAGACTAATTTTAATATACATATTTAGGTGAAAAAATTACCTTTATTTCACAACACAATTTCATGAACTTGCTTGAAGCTTATTATATCTCCTTGGATTTTTTGGCTAGCTATATATTTTAAATAACACTTAAAACTATATTTGAAGTACTATGAGCTAATTTTAAACCTATTTTTCATTGTATTATAGTATTTCATATATAGAAATTTTAAATCAAAACATAAACATGAATGAGATTACTAACATTTCTACTATTATAAGTATTTTGAAAAGAGTTTAATAAAGGGTATTTTTTATGTGTGTAAGGTGTGGCTTAGAGGTCCCGCAGTCCAATAGTCCTAAGGGAGACCCCCACAACAAATTGGGAAGTAAGCAAAGAGGATGGTGTGTTCTTGCTGTGCTTCCTTTTTCAAAGCTCTGTCTTCACTTGTCTTTCTTTCGCCTCCTGTTCTGCAGCATGTGTCTTAGTGTTCTGCACAGAAAAACAAAACAAAACAAGACTTGCTATCAGATGACGGTCAATTCATCATCACTAAATTCAGCTGCTTATGTTTAAAAATCTCCGTACATGAAAAGGATCCTCTAAAAACTCAGGGCAGCTTTTAAGTGTAAAGGAGACAATTGCTGGTGTTATGATTTCAGGTACCATAATAAGTGCTTGAGGAAGATGTTTTGGATAGAAAATATTCTTGGAGACTCTCCAAGTCCTTTCTAGCGTGCAGAGCTAGTCATTTTTGGTATTGTAATTATATATAGTTGATTTTGTTCTAATTATATTGTGATAGTGTTCTATGATGACATGTTTACGTCAATAACTAAACATAAAGAATAGGTAAAATTTTGAATTTTGGAATTAATTCAGCATGGAGTAATATTCTGGAGGTCAGATTCTGGCTCTTCCAATTATGAAAATTGTATGTATTGTAGAATTTCCATTTTCCCAAGCCATTTTCAGCTATAAATATGGATAGTATTATTAAAGTTACAAAATGAGTTGATTTATACAAAATTTGAGTTCAGTTTTTGGCTCGGACTAATAAACAATAGGTATTTCTTTCTTTATGTCGATGACTCTTCACACGTCAAAATTCCTGTGTTGAAACCTAATCCCATGTAATGCTATTAAGAGGTGGGGCCTTGAAGACATGCTTACATGATGAGAGAGGAGCCCTTACGAAAGGAATTAACCCCCTTTAAAAGAAAAGTCCCAGATCCCTTCTACCACAAGAAGAAAGAGTGAAAATTCAGTCTTTTATGAACCAGAAAGCAGAGACTCAGGAGACAATAAATCTACCAGCACCTTGAATCTTAGATTTCCCGGCCTCCAGAGCAGTGAAAAATAAGTATCTTTTGCTTATGAACTACCCAGTCTATGGTAGTTTTTTTTTTAATACCCCAGAAAAACTAAGAAATTTATAGTGCTTTTCAGAACCTGAGAAATGGTCCTCAAAACATGTATGTTGAAAATATTAGTGCTAAATAGTGAAATTCAGGTAATAGCCAATGGCCCAGGTCATGTTCTGAAGTTGATGCTGTGGCAGTTTGCATAAATGGCCACAAATGCTTAGCAGCAGCTTCCATTAAAAGGTAAAGCTTATTTTTCTCACCATATTATTGGGCTAGCTTTTTATGTGGTTTGGCTAATAAACTGCAACCAATGTAAAACTGTCTTAAGTTTGATCCTATGCCTAGAGAATTATTAGTTTTCTCATCACTTTCAGAACCTTTTCTCTGCCATATGAGCCAAGATGGTCTAACCTCCCAGAAGATGGGAGAACAGAAGCAGACATCAGCCTCCCAGCTTTGATCCCTTAGACCAGGAGTCCCCAGTGTTTTTTGGCATGACAAAGACAATTTTTCTACGGATAGCAGACATTCCCAGGGGAGGTGAGTGGTTTCAGGCTGATTCAAACACACTGCAGTGATTGTGCAGTTTATTTCTGTTGCTATTACACTGTACACTTTATTCAAAAAAACAAAGACATTTAAAAATAATTCTGTGCTTTCAGTATTTCATTAGTTTAACTTTGAGGCAATTTAAAAATTTGACATAAAAGTCACAATTTAGAAATTTTAGGCCTAAGTCCTTTAATGTTAACAGAATTGGGAATAACACTGGTTGTGGAACACCCTGTAGCTTGAATTATCTAACTTCTGCTTGATTTATGCATAAATTTTGTGCTATAGTAAAGCTTTAGTTTGTTGGTACTTAACCCACTTTTTAAGATTTGCCTTGCTCAACTTTGGTAATTTATTTAATTATTAGACTCTGGTTACTCTGTGGAAACAAATCTTTTGTTTTTGAAATACAGACAGCTAGAATATCGGAGAAATAAAGAACTGTTTGATGATCTTTAGCTGAAACCTCATTGACAAAAGAAGATCTAGTGGGATGATGCCAGCATGATGACTAGTTCAGATGAACAAATGGGAAATGAATAACCTTAAAAAACTGTGGAAAATAAAGATATTGATTTGCTGACCTTATTGATATTAGTTTTCTCATTGCTTGATATGACAACCACATGATATTAGAAAACTTTGTGGTGACATGAGTAGATTATGTGGGGGTTCACCCCGCGAAGTTTGTTGTTTAACAATCATGTGAATTGCTTCATCAATTTCTCTTTGTTTGTTTGGGGTTTTTTGGCACTGGAGATCGAACTCAGGACCTTACGCTTGTGAAGCAGGCGGTGGAACCACTGAGCTAAATCCCCGGTCCCCATCAATTTCTCTTTGAAGCTCAGGAGCAGCTTGTTAATTTTTCAAATTATTATTTACAGGTATTTATGCCTTAATAAATCCTTCTATATCTTTTTTTGCCTAAAATAATAGGTCTAATACTGCCCCTTCAAATATATTCAGTAGACTGTTTACTTTTTCTTTTCACCAGATATTTTATAAAAGGCTGATTAACAAACAATAAAACCTTTAGAAATCATCTATTCCCTTCCTTTTCTAGATAAGAAAATTGAGACCCAAAAAGCTCTTCTTTCTTTTATTTTTTCTTTGTCTTCATTACTTTGGGATTAAACCCAGGACTTTCACACTGAGCTACATACCAGGCCCTTTTCGAACTTTTCATTTTGAGACAAGGTGTCACTAAGTTGCTAAATTGAATAGGCAGGACTCAGCATCCACAATGCTATAAACATGTGTGGTTCACCATGCCTAACTTGGTTTTATTTTCTTGATCCTTTTTGATTTGCTGATCATGAATATCACATAATCAATGTTACCTTTAAAACAAGTTAGGGAACAGAACCACATCTAAGTAAAAGAGGTCATATTTTGTTATATATATTTTCCCATTGAAATTTCGTGTTTTTTTCCTAACTTCTACATTTTCCATTAAGCCCACTTGAGATCAACATGGATCATCAGAGAGAGTGGAAGCTGATACAGCAAGGAAGAAGGAACTATAAGTACTTTCATAAATAGGAAGTATCATTAGAAAGCCTTTATGATAGTTGGAGGAGATAGAGGAGAAAATGAATGAAAGGGAAGGTAGGAATTTTAAGTGTTTTTAAATATCTTTCCCTCGGTCTTCACTTTAGGCGATAGGCAAGTTAAAGTTAATAGAAACACACAAGACATAGATAACCTAAACCAGTAGGCTTGCTAGTCACTTAACAGAACATGCCTTAGAATATTGCACTTATAAATTTACACTAAATAGAATATAAAAGCAATGCGTTAAATTCTTTATTCAATAATATCTTGTCAATAACAATTAGTTGTGTTGTTGCCTATCCCTTAAAATATTCTCCCAAGGAAGTAGTATATGTGACTATATATAAATAGCAGACATATATTTTTATATGTGCATTTATTTTATTGCCTCCCTCACAATATAATTGTAACTCCTCAAAAGCAAGGATTTTATTTGTTGCATTTAATGTTGCATTTTCAGTGCCGAGAATTGTTCTTGGTACAAAAGAAAATGCTCATTAATAGTAGAATGAATTTTAAAAGTTGTAGTTTATAAAACTTGTTGCTTTACAGATTCCAGTATTCCTGCATCATGCATTTTCCCATACTTTAAAAATTTAAAACACAGTTCCTCTTCTCTCAGTCTGGCCCTGTCAAGTCAAAAGTTTGGATCTTAATATCTTAAAGTCACTAATCAGGGAAGCTTCTCTGATACCTTCAAAAACATAGGCAGTTATCTCACCTGCTGCAGCCACAGACCAGTACATGAGAAAATTTATTGCTGTGTGATATAATTAATTATTTTGCACATCAATATCCCTCACTGGAGTAAGTATCACCTCCTAAAAGGAAAATCCAATCTTGTTTTAAATTGATTTTTCTGAGAACCTGACAAATGAAGTTAGATGCTTGTGATTTAGTGAGGAAAAAGCTCCAAACAATGAAACTGAAAGAAGCCGGATAGGGACACAGAAGAGAGCTAATCAGAAATTTACTAGGTCCTGGACTCATTCTCCAAGCTAAAACCACAGAAAACTCTTCACCATGAATTTCACTATAAAATTGGCCCTAATTTGAGCTCCAGCATCTGCATGGATAAGTAACTGCCTGAGGGCTGTGTGGAAAGTGCGTGGCATCTTGCTATGCTAAGTACGCCTGTTCACGCCAGCTCAGTTCTCCAGAGAGAGTAGCTGTGACTCCTTGGCAGCCACCTCTGTAAAAGGCAAGGTGTGTGTGGTAGCCAGTGAAGGAGATTTTTTTCAGAGCAGCAAAACCTTCCAAAGTTCCTATTATAACATCGACTCTTGTTTACATGGTGAGCACATAAACATATTTACTATATCCTGAAACGAATGTTCAGAGTACGTCTATGAGCAAGGTGCTGCATTGTGTATTGCAGGAAATACAAAATATGAATTCTTCACCCAACTATTTGGAGTAAACATTGATTTGAGCAGGATTGAGTGTGTGAGGTAAACACTTAATTTAAGGCAGAAATATGATAACTTCTACAAGCCAGGTACAAAGATTTGTTATGGAACTACAAATGCAATATAAATTCCTTCTCACAGTAATAAAAAAATTCAAATAAATGGAATTTGCAATCTTTTTGAACACAGAGATTCTGAGGGAGAAAAGAGGTAAATATACCAGCTGGGGAGAAATACATGGTACGCACCGTCACAGTTCACAACCTTGGTATGGCGCAAAGGATTACTTGGAGCCAATGTCCAATCCAAACTCCAAAGAAGGCCCAGAGATGCTGCCCTTAACTGAGACCCCTCAGCATGAGAAAGTCCTATAAAGACAGCTCCAAAGTGAAGCCTCTGTGACCTTTTATTGATAAAACTAGGAAGCAAGGATCAAAGGGAAAAAAAAGGCATATATCTGGGCAAGAACTCATGTAGCAGACGGGAAGAATGGTCAGGGGATGGGGATGGTCAGGATGGTCTGTTAAGTGACTCACTTCGGGACTAATTCAAAATGACAGAAGCGTATGGGGAGGACAAAGCCAAGAGCATTCAATCCTTAGGGCAATGCGTTTTGATCCTACTATGACTTGTGGTTTAGTAGGCTTTCTTTTCTCTAACCATGCATTTGGGGAGGTATTGAACTTGTGGCTCTGACAGTCCGTTACCTCTGAATATCTATCTCATACATACATCTGACCAATGCCCCCACAACACATCACCGAGGCAGGATATTTATGAACTTGAGAAAGACAAGAGGCCATTCTCCTGCTTCCTGGATCAAAACACTCATCCCCAGTATCTGCAGGAGATTGGTTCCAGGACTCGCACTGGATATCAAAATACACTCAAGCTTCTTATATAAAACAGCATAGTGTTTGTATATAACTTCCTCACATTCCCCATAGACTGTTAAGTCATCCCTATATTACATATAATAACCCATACAATGTAATGCTAGGTAAATAGTTGATATATTGTACTGTTTAGGGAGTGTTGATGTGAAAACCATCTGTGTACCTTCAGTATTAGGCTGAATCTGCAAAGTGCAGTTATGGACAGCTGACTACACTGCAGTGTGTCTATTTGACAGTATAATAATTGGCTAAAAAGATTATTTGGCATTCTACATGGGGAGAATGTTGAATTTTAAGAAGAGAGGCTCGAGGGGATTTAGCTCAGTGGTTCCACTGCCTGCCTCGAAAGATCAAGGTCTTGAGTTTGATCCCCCATACCAAAAAAAAGAAGAGAGATTTGGTTTTTATCTCTCAATGGAAAATCATTAAGGATTTTTTTGTCATGGAAGTGAAATTAACCGAAAAGAGATTTAGTTCAAACCTGGCCAAAAAACCCTAGCATACAAAAATGTAAATTATGCATCATCTAGAAGTGTACTATAGTTTGGATCTTAAAGGACCACCAAAAACCTCGGCATTGAAGGCTTGGAACCCAACCCAGAATGCTATTGGGAAGTAGTGGAACATTTAGTATGTGGAGCCAAATTGATAGAAGTTGGGTCTTATTTGACTACCAGTCTCTCTCTCTCTCTCTCTCTCTCTCTCTGTCTCTGTCTCTCTGTCTGTCTCTGTCTCTTTCTCTCTGTCTCTGTCTCTCTCTGTCTCTCTTTCTTTGCTTCTGGCTTGCCTTTAGGGGAGTACTTTCTCCACTATACTCCCATCATGATATAATATGCTACTACAAAACCAAAGTAGTAGGGCCAAATGACCATGGACTGAAACCTTTGAAATAATCAGCCAAAATAAACCTACCTTCCTTACAAGTTGATTGTCTTGGGTATTTTGTCACAATGATGTAAAACTGACTAGCACAAAATGGAAATAAGTTACAAGGCAAATTAAAATTATGCTTTGAAAATAAATGCCTTCGTATGTTTCTGCACTAAAAATTGCATTTTTCCATTATTTTTTCTGTGACATATTTTAATGTTGAAATGGAAAAACAGATTTTCTAAATACCACATTTCTAGATGACATATAAATTCTGTGTTGAAGTACATTTTAAGAAAAATTACAATACATCAAAATTACAAAACATGTCTGATCCTTAACATGACTAAATGTTGACAAAATTTAGAGACTTGTCCTTATTTCTTTCTTGATGTTAAAATGTATTCAATGGTAATTTCTTCAACTTATTTTAGTATCTTAATTAGACATAATTTTCAATTGCAACAAATGTTTACTTGGGATTTTTTGGTGCTTCTCCCAAGAAAGGAGGGTGTAATAAACAAATATAATGTCCTATCTACAGAAAGAAAAGAAAATAGTTTTTTGTGTACATTTTATGTACCAGGCTCTGTCTATAGAAATGCTTTTATATATAGATCTCACTTATTGTGCATGTTCAGTAAATGCTCTCAGTTTTATTCCTAAACTAAACAGATATTCTAACTTTATAAACAGGGAAAATTTGATACCTTCTTCATCTCTCATTCTGATCATCAACCTAAAACTTTTCTCATCTATTTGCATATATAACTTAGCATCCCTATATATATTATATATATTAGGAGACACACAATGCTGTAGTTTAGAT